AAGTTCCTTAGAAAAAATTCGCACATCGTACGTTTTCGAAACACATTGTCTCTAAGTATGTTGTGGTATTGCAGATTCATTTTCGTTGTTAAATTACTGATTATATTCAGGCGAATTAAAGCAGAATGAACCGTATGTCTTCAAAACGTTAACGTTAGAATGAGCGGTGAGGTATGGATGAAATATCGATACAAGTTGATTAATGCGATAGCATATTAATGCGATATCATATTAATGCGATATGCGATATTCACAGTGTAAATACTTTGATGTGACAATATCTATCGAGATGATGTCCTTATCACTTTCAGAGGGATTCGTTTGTCTTTCAGCGATATCTTAGCTGAAGATTCGTTTGCTTTTTACTGATGTCACATCTAATATTTAATCGGTCGGGCTAACAGATAACGATAGATAACGCTTCGATGATCCGTATATGTTAAGTGATTTGTTGATAAAAACTTCATCATTCCCAACACTTTTATCTCGTTTGGCATGTTTCANGACCTTTATTAGCGACATATGCTTACTTTCATGCTCCTTCAATAGTCTTACTTTCATATGTTGTGAAATTCCACCATTGTCTAGTTTATTAGACCATTATCCCCAACTGATGATCATTTCCAATGAATATCCAGATTGACAGTTAAAATTCATACCGTATTTACACATGAGTTTGCCATAACTTGGAATTTGATATAACTTTTCAGATGTCAGTGGGAAAAACTGAGTAAACTGAGTGGAGCGGTTGAAGGGAAAGTTGGTTTGGAAAGTAACATCCATATTGATAGTACAACTTTAGAGGTGGATTTTTCAAATGCTTTTGAGAAGTTTATTCACAATCAGTCAAAAAATTAATGAAGGTCATTCGCTGAAATGAAATAATAGTGCACGTCATTATTGATGTTTAGCTTTATCATGCGAGCAACATTTATCTATTTCTTGGATCATTTATCGCATATTCGTTTGGATTGTTACTGCCGATACCCAACTCTTCTTGGATTGCTTATATCTGATCCATTATTCATTTCATTTCTAATTCCGTCTATTCATCTGTCAACAATTTAAAAATATCGAATAAAAGATGAAAATACCACAGCCAGTTTAGAATATATTATGTGATTGTTGTAGATCTATTATGAATAACTTCAAAAGTAATTCTGCTTCGCCAATAAATTCTTTTGTCAGAGAAACAAATAGCGAAGATAATTGAATTTGTTTAATTTGTCTGCCAATACCTGAATTTGCTGTGACTGGTTCAAAAAATCAAACTGTATTTTAATTCGATGACATCTATAGAAGAAATGGATCGATGAGTCATATTGAATTAGGAGAGAGTGATGTGATCGTTATTAATTTTTGATCAGTATTGAAGTTGTTGACTGATATAAACATATCATATCATAGAATGTTAGCGAATGATCTCATATCTAACGCAACAGTTTTAATACTGATGATTGTGTCATATAATGTATATATGACGAAAATTTTTTGGTATTGGTGGGTTATGGAGTATGTATGGTACTGTATGCCTGCCTTCGTATTTGATAAGAATGGAAATCTTGAAAGTGACGAGATTGGCTGTAATTATGATCACGAATCATGAACAGGAAAAAGTAAATGATAGAAGCGAACAGAGATAGGTTGAATGTGATTAGATGCTGGGTTATAGTGTTTGTTGGAATGAAGTAAAGAGATAAGTTTGTATAATGAAAGTGAAGATTTGGTTAGGTGCGATTGATGTAACGTAAATGTGATGTGTTGTTGATGATGGTCGTAGCGGTGATACAAGAAAAAAGTACGTTTTACATCTTGCTTTCGCGCTATAATAGATCAGTGGGAAGCAGGCAGCCAGTCAGGGGCAAGTGGAACATAATTGAGACGGAGCGGGTTCATTCGAGGGGCGTATCCGGTGTTTTTGGTGGTTTAATTTGAAGAAGATGAAGGAAAGAGAAGATGAAGAAGCGCTTTTTAGGATTCATTCGAATGTGCGAACGAAAGCAGATGATGATTTGAAGGTATTTAGACAGCGGCAGCAGACGACAGCACTAGCGCAGGAGCTCATCTTATTTCCATGAGCCAACCAACCGGTTGTGTCGATGTTACTTACTCAGTAGTAGTGGCATAGCATACATCAACCAACGATCGCTGCTTATCTTCGTCGTTTCGTTTTTTATCGAAACATTTACAGATTGACAGATACACACTTACAAACACACATCTATTCACTCATTTACAAATGTTATTTAATGATGCATACACATATAAAACAACTTGCACATCACCAATATTCTTCAATTTAATTATCTTCCACCCATCAACACTCACCGATTCACTGTTAGCATTCAATGGAAATTTCGGTTTACCGAATACTGTAGATAATGGCACATCCACTGCATACAATTAAAGCAACTTTTTTCGCGTTCTTTTTATCATCACTTTTTCAGTTCAAGAAACACATCTTCACAGTAGTAAGTAAGGAATATGATGCCATAGTCTTCTATCCGCCATGAACAGGCATTAACGAACTATCATAATTAACGCTCAACAAGTGAACCTCGCTAATAACGTCCATCATCACGAATTCATAAGCGATGAATGATTTCAAGGTTAGAAGATGAAGGAACTGACAGGGATCATTCAACGTGATCTCTTCGATCAGAGCTCTAATTAAATGAACAATTTCGCTTTCCTAGACACCACAAGTAATGCGTGATTTCAGCTTTGCAGTAATCTCATAGCACTGAGAGCTAAGTGTTGATTTCCATGACAGGCATCTATAAAACGGTTGGCTAGCATTTGTGAACGCTCTGGCTAGGAGATTCGACAAGTAACGCTGAGACTGAGTGGAATGGGATAATTTGAGAATATGTACTTGTGAAAAGTGGACGGTGTGAAGGAGGATGAACAGACGAATACTACCTTGTGTAATCGATCCAAATTAATATTAAAAATAGAGTGATGAAGCTTTATGAAGATTGTATATGAATTTTAGACTGAGTTGTACATGAGGTATTCAATTGATGAGATGTATAAAATTTTATTGAATAGCGTTGTGAGTAGTGAGAAGCAACGATCCAAACAAATCTTCTTTATCTTCGTTATTAATGTGCATCTCGATAAAGAAAGAATGCATACAAGTAAGCCATTGGAATTCATCATATCGTTATTATCGTTTCGGTGCCGAATAACAATAAATATGTGTTTACCTTTAAGATTTGTATTATTCAAAGCATCATCTCAATCAACAGAATTTATGATGTTTAAACGAAATGAAAATTATCCATTCAATTCGTTTTATTCGCTCATCCATTCATCTACATTTAACGATCACCTTCGTACAACGATTCATGCCTGAAGTGCACGAATATCAGCGGATGATTTTGAATCGAACTTTAATCAATCGTTTTTAATTATTCGAAGCCTAATAGTGCTATATTAACAAATCATGACTACACGCCTTTAGCGAACACACGCTTAGAATTTTTTTGAGATGAAGTGTAGGCGTTCGAAATGTACAAATATGAGATGGAAATCGCAGTTAAATGTTTACAATCGAATTTCTTTTATACAATCAAATCTTGTTATGAATCATAAATGTGATCTCTTAAAGTTCTATTTGGTAATGCTGATAAAGTGAACGGATTTCATTCACTCTCATAACAGTCGTTATGTTATGCATAGCGCTTAGTTGCTGACGTTTCCATGTCGTGTTTGATCGTCAGTAGACGTTAGTTTACGTTACATCCAGAACTGAGCGATTGTATTCACTCATCACCACGTTGCTTTATTCCATAAAGCCATTATCTTTGGTGCTGTAGTTGAATTTGTCAAACTAGGCTTCAATTTATGCTGCCATCATTAAAACTGGATTCACAAAAGTTGAGTGAAAGTGCAAAATCAGTTCGAGACTTCATATTTGCATTTGCTAAAGCANACAAAAATATAACGTGTGCACTAAAAAATACAAGTTGTTCATATCTCAAACAAATACTTTTCAGATAACGTGAACAAATCAAGTGTCAGATAACATAAAGTATAGCTTGGTGATTACCGTAAGCCATATTCGTTTATAAGCACCCTCGTCTCTCTGCCAGATGACTGAATCAACCCATCCATCCATCTATCCATCCGTTCAGCCAGTCATCCATCCGAATATAACAAAAGATATATTTCGATGGGCGTGTCGCAGCTAAATATAATGGGCGGAGTTTGCTAGAGTGAAGCGATTTGTGTGCCTTCGTCAATCCAAGCAACATCCATCCGTATCGTTGTGCTTGTGATTTGACGTGTGCTGTTGACTGGGCATTGATCGTTATCATTCGTTATCTTTCACTCATAATCCATTGATGGCTAACGTTCTGTCGCTGTTCTTCTTCAAGTGACAGTCAGCCCTTTTCATAGTTGCCAACCTGTTTAAAGATCCAGCGATTAAGATGCATACAAGTAATTCATTCGTGAGTATGTGTCCTCACAATAATAGTTCCAATTCAGCATCAATTCCCTTGAACTGAGACCAATAAACAATGGGATGTTACATCTTGTGGCTGCAAAAGTTCTTTTTTAGAATAATCTTTTCATAATATACACTTCGCTAGAAATAATCAACCGTGAAGTGAACATCAACAACAACAAATTATAAGATATGGGTGTGACATCAAATAATACCGTTATTTATTTGTTTCTTACTTTCCATCACCACTCGGTTGCATCATATCTGCAGCGATCAATCTTTGCCTTCTTCTTTTCCATTTATATTGAAATGCTAATATTCATACTTTGTATTTTACTGATCCATTCATATGTGGTAGATGCACTAGATTACTGATTCTATATTCGATGAAGAAGTGTGTTCGTATCACATGCGACGTTTTATCAACTCAGCGTTCATTCATTCTTCTTTGCAGATATAACTATTTGTATGTGTATTTTGTGTAAGTGGGTGTATTAAACGAACTCTGAAAGGATTTCTCAAAAGGTCGTTAACAAATCAGTGTACGATGAGTATGTTCCCGGTGCGTGTGGTGGTGGAATCGGTAAGGCCACAACATTGCTTAACATGTGCACATGACGGTCATATGCTTGTTGATTCGTACGCAATTGTTTCTGGTGCTACTTCATTAAGTCAACTAGTCGACACTGTTTTGAGTGCACTCGGAATGCCGCAACTGGCCGTTCATTCTCGAGGTTTGTTTCGCGTTACTTTGGATTTATTCATTGGTTTGTTCGTTCAGTGTCACTTCCTTCAACAACTGTTCTCTCGTGCATGTAACATGCATCATGACCGTTTGATAAAGTCATGCGACACTGTGCTCTTTCATATAGATCACTCGTAGAAGTTTTCTTAGTTGATCCACATCCAGACTATTTAGGATTTACTTTACAACGATCATTCATGAAACAGCTCTCTCGTCTTATATGCATGTCTTAGTGACTTCATTTATTTCTATTTAATACTTCCAAAAATCATGAAATCACATTCGAAAACATTCACAATTAACATCTATCAAAGATGGATGAATATCAATTTGTACAAGTTAATATTCAATACGTTTCATCAAATTCCAGTGGCATTTATGTCATGATAACACTTAATTCAGTTTGATCTATACTAAGCATAAAACCATAATATATTATGGCTAAGCATAACGTAATGAATTTTATCGGATTCATATCCCTACTAGCCACGTATCGTCCAACAGACTCGGATTAAGAGTGATCCCATTGAATTGCGAAGGATTATCGCGATCATCTGTGACTTTCTATTGCTGACTGCTAAATTCACATATTCGCAAACAGCATTCATATTATACATTCTGTATATCTTGAATATATCTGTCTCTATTTATGTTATGCAGACGATTATTAATACATCGTTCAAATATTGTTTGTATATCCATTCTTCATTCGTATACATGTATTTCGAATATTCACTTCAAATCCCTTGCATTCGATCCATTGATACTATCGTCTTGCTGCGTATGTTTCGTTTGATTAGATGAGAGGACAAGCATAAGATATTTTATAAGTGTAAAATGGACAAGTATAAAATATTTTATAACGATGCCAGCGACGAATTTAATTGATGAGATATTAATTGGAATTTTGAAGAGTTTTCTTCATTTGATTGATGTTTTGTACGGAGATGAAAACGAATGAAAAAGGAATCTTTTCGATTTTGATATTATAATGCTGCAATCACTACTAATAATCAACGAGAGAAAGAAGAAAGGCTAAATGAAATAAATGAAAATGGGAATAGAATTTTGTTAAAGAGGATGATGAATATAAAGAATTCTTAAGTGAATAACAACAATTTTTATTCGATTCCAAATCTGCTGCTACAATACAAATGAATCATTTCAAATTTCAATATAATAAGCAAAACGCTAGATATTTCCCATTTTTTCCACGTATTCTTTGGTTTATTCCGTATTTGTTGGGCGAATACGGTAGAAGTAGAAAATATTTGCGAAATCGCCGAGAAAATTGGATTGATAATCCAATAAGGAACGTTTGAAAGTGAAATTTTTTTGAACGCTTTAATGGAATTGTCACATGAATATCATAACCATATTCAGATTATCTCGCCAGCAATTCTGTTCGTGAGATGAAAAAAGGTATTTTATGGAGCGAATTTCATTCTGAATAATAAGTACAGTGTAGGCTTTGAAATGTTTTAGTCAGCAGTATACTTTTTTGAATATAAATAGTCAATAATTGATGTTAGGGATATGTGCGTATTGAAACGAAAATGAAATGTTCAAAAGAAACTAAATCGCAATCACAAATCGCAAATCGCAATTGATCAGAAGATGACCTTGAGACCTTGACTGCGTAAGAGCAGCACTAAGAAATGCACAGGTAGATGAAGTGTGTTCATATCGAAGAAGTGATTAAGGAATTTCGTTTTATAATACCATCAATATTTCATCAATTAAAATATTCATGTCCTTTATTCAGTCACTCATTTCATTGATTATATCACCATAACACAATTATCTTTTTACGTTTATCGTTTGAACATCTCATTCATTCGTTTATCTCTAAGCATTCCATGCACAATGCAACTACATCTACCTGTATATGTATACACGTTCTTAAACAGAAACATCCGAACTATGCTTTTCGGTATCCATCCTTTTCATCTTATTCCTTTTCATATTCTGAAGCAATCTTAACGAAATGCAAAGCGAAAGTTTCAATTGACATTTCAAGTTGCCTTTGCATAAGCAACGAAAGATAGGATGGCGGTGCGTACACTAGACTGATAATTATTGGATGGAGCTTACCAAAACGAATGACAATAAATTTGAAGGGAATCGGCTGATTGCAAACGTCTCAAATATCACACAGATGATTTTCATATTTTCTCACTTCGCCAAAAAAAACGTTCACTTACAAGTTCATGCAAATGATGGGTTAACAGATGACTGTAGAGAGTGTATGCATGAATAATCTATTGATGGATGACGTTTCAACGCCATTGTCGAATCGTTTATGCATTGGATAAGGAACTATGAACTTGATAATAAGATAACAATTCACTAGTGATTTTTTGAATGCTGTCGCTGTTGTTATCAATAATATCAAACGCTCCTTTGCAACTGCGCGATTTTTCACGTTGAATTCAGTCAAAGTTATGGCAAGAGTGAGCATAGAAAATAAGCAGTATTTCGATTGCTAACTTGGTGATTATCTTTCGAATGGAACGGCGGTGCATTTCTTATTTATGTCCTCTGAAAACTCGTGTTAGAAATGATGCGATAGATTGCTATAACCCACTGACTGATTCATTACCATTGAACAATAACTTTTATGATTGCCGTTCGTTTATCGCCATCTCCAATTAAAGAACTTAAACTTTTCCAGTCTTCGCGTTCAACCTTTCAATTGCATCATATCATCGAAATTATTCCCTTCAATGTGTTGCTTATGTTTGCAGATGAATGTTTTCATATTGTGTCCTAAAAACGCCCCTTAAATTTTTTTTNTTTTTTTTCAAGCGAAAAGAGCACTTCGGTGAACTCCGCCCTTACCATCCAGGTGTTTTGTGAAATAATGAGTTGTGAAAATTGATGGTTATTGGTCTCCTCCACGTCAGGATTTAAATTTTTTTGGTGAAGAAAATAATCTCAAAATTTGTCGAATTGGAATGAAAAATAGAAAATTTTTTTCAAACACCTATTTTAATTATACCGTTCACGAATGCTGTGCGAACGCGAATATCTTGAACCATTCTTGAAATCATTCCACGATTTAATTCACATCAGTTTTTTCAATGGCAAACAAAAAGTTTTATCGAAGTGGAGTTCTTGTATTTCTGAAGTTGAATTTATTTTCAGTCGCTTTTCTCTTTTTCTCATTCCCATCCACTCGTTCTCAAAGTTTTGTCATTCAAGTCATGTACTGAGAAATGCTTTTTCTGGCTGTTTCAATGAATTATTCACAATAGCAGTTTTTGTCGATGTTTGATAGGTGAATGCCAGATTCGTTCTTAAATAATCACTGATTAAACATTTATATATCCAACGACTTTCATTGAATAGCGGTCACTCGCTGTGTTATATTACCATCGGAAGCAGTGAAGTCATCTGTCTATCTGTTACGGTATGATTTTACACTAAAAACTCGTATTTAATGAGTTGATATTTTGAATTTGAACAGTTGTTTGATTTGGATTGCTTGATGGAGAAGTGCGATGATGGAGAGTAGATTTTGAGCGCATACATTTCACTGCATACAAATTGTTTCTTTCTTCATTCATTGAGCTCCAAACAAATTAAGTTTTTCATGATATTAAGTGTTCGGCTCACTACCGACTTTCGAGAATCAACGTCTTTTTCTTTTACTCGAGCATCTTTTTGCAAACGTTTCCGGACAAAGTGTCATGAAATTGTACGATCAGGCGAGTTATTCTAAAGGAAAAATTTTCGGAGAGTAAATCTATTTTTGGAGAGATTTCAACTTTGTATTTATGATGGATGTACTCTAGGTCATTGTATTTATGGGTTTCGGTAGCTTGCCGATTCAGGTGCCTCGTTGAAACAAAACTGCGACACTGAACCGTTCCTTAGGCTTTTTGAAAACATTGTAGATATCAGTGCAAAAGTATATCCACAACTTTTCCGATCGGAACTCAATTTTTGCATTTTCTTCAATGGTTGATCCGTTTGCTGAAGTTACCGTTCACTGAACGTTGATCGAAACCGAACATTAGTTTGTTCGTTATTCAGTCATCTTCCATCTATTTTTACCATTTGTGCAGCAGATAATTCTCCCTTTTTTGAGAACCTTTAAGAAGTTTGGGATGCGTCTCGACAGCATAGCGTCATAAATAAGACTGATGGATGCTTGACGGTTGATAAAGTGACTTACTTCAGTTGTTTGCCTCTCGTCGCTGCTGATCATAGTGGTGTTGAATTGTTTGTCATCTGTCAGAGTATTTTTAGAGTTGAAGTTGATGCAGTGGGGTTAGTAATATCTCTATTAATTTTGATATGATCATGAGGGAATTCGATGATGAATCAATGCATGCCTGTGTATTCATGGTGATAGCGAAGAGGTAGTGCGATCAAATTTCACATTCATTCAAATAACCGTTGGATAAACTATTTTTGATCAACCATGCGATTTAAGGCAAACAGATATTGCTGCAAATGATATGTGCAAATGCCGTTCGAAGTCGTGAATATGATTCAGCATATTCCACTGTTTGGTTCTGCAGCAGCATTTGCTTTGAGCTAGCAGCGTACGTGATGATACCGGTTGCCCATTCATTCCAATAGCCATTCACAGATCAACCATGCGATTTAAGGCAAACAGATATTGCTGCAAATGATATGTGCAAATGCCGTTCGAAGTCGTGAATATGATTCAGCATATTCCACTGTTTGGTTCTGCAGCAGCATTTGGTTTGAGCTAGCAGCGTACGTGATGATACCGGTTGCCCATTCATTCCAATAGCCATTCACAGTAATTTTATCACGGACTTTCACCTGTAACTGATTGTGAGTGTTTGTCTAGAAGTTAAGCTGTTCGCGAATATCATTCATCGTTACCAACTGGTTTATCGTAAGTGATCAATGAGGCACTGAGTAGAATTGTCGTAAAAAATGGTTGAAATAAAACGAGTGATCATCGTTCGAGCGTTCGATAGAGTGGTGTATTGTTTTAGGTTTCATGTATGCAACTACGAAATCCTCTGATATCATCCTTGAAAGATTTGGTGGAGCAAAGCGTCCGAAATATATAGATTTCATTTTTGTTTCTGAATTCGTAAACAAAAAGTAGTTTGAGAATTCAAATTTTCAGATATTTCATCTTTATCATCTTATCATTAGGCTGTGCTCGAGCACGAGCACAGCGTGCAGCTAGTAATTTGACGCAGCTATCATATTGTTTTGCTTTCCATTACTCTCAACCAAATCCATATTCGTACTGTAACCATCCAGGGGATAGCAGTTCATGACTCATTTCATAATTTGTGAGCCTGTTTCCTTATGTCAATATCACTTTTTCATGTTTATCAAGGATTGTTTGAGTGAGAGTAGTTGATCGCAATTCGTTTAACGCCAAAATAATTGATTTGAATCGTTCATTTTAACAGTAGTGAATCATTAACTTTATCCAGATTGTCCTGTCTCATTGTAAAAAATTTGGATGATAAGAAGTTGTAAAGCAGATTTCTAAAAATAGAGAGTAGACTTAAGCATGAGAATGTTAATATACAGTATTAGGTGATATACGCATTTCAATGAAAGATAGCAGCAGTAGTGTTAGTGGATGGAATGTTTAAAATATAATCTTTATCATTCGAAATAAACAGCGGTGGATAGCGTCGGTATATATGCAGGTATGGAACAGGATTGCATACAAAAATGTTTGTTTGTGTGTACATCGAATGACGATAATAAGAAAATATGTGATAAGATAGATGACACGACGGTGGTCGTTAAAGGAAAGCCGATGCTATTGCTGAGGTGGATTGCGTTTGATGATGAGGTGATCGCGATTAGTGATAAGCACATTTGCTTTACTTCAGTGCACTTCTTCTGCCGATCCCTTCTCGACTTTTACCGTTTCCATCCGAAATTCATTCCCCTTTCATCCCACAGCATAGAATCGCACGTATTCCAATAGCTGTTTCATCAACCTGAAGCTGATTTCCGATACTTCATTTTTGATAGTTTGAACATGTTGTTTATTCCGGAATATTGTAAACATGTTATTGAAGCACAAACTTATCCCAAATCGTAACCGAATGCAGAATAGTTTGAAAGAGAATGCTTATCCAGCGATCCACCGTGTTACAAACTATAAAACTCGACAATACTAAAATGCCATAACGCACAAACATGAATATTTCTGATGAAAGTGATCACGATCGTATTACATATCTGCGAGTGAATTATATTCATTCATATGAAAGCAGCAATATCTGATTTCATTGAAATATCAATATAAGTGCATGCTATGTGATTTGATTGCGTACGCTTTCGTCACAAGTTGATGTGGATACAGTAATGATAAATAAAGTAGTGATAATATACTCTGACATGGCGATGTGTGAATGGAGCAAGGTATGTCTAATACGCATATAGAAAGATGTATAGTTGACGTCGATATGAAAGTAAGCAAATACATTATTATTACATTGCTACTAAGAGATAGATAAGCGGATGGCCAACTGAAGGTGAAAAGCTGTTTTGTTCATTCCACTTATTACGATGGCTATCAGGGAAGAACCGATAGGGATGTGCTTATTACGTTGGTCCCGATTAACTGATAAGCGCAGTATCGTCAGAATGCGACGATAATATCTTCATTAGTCACCATCACAAATCAAGCCATTCATATCCTCTGTGAAGCTTTTCCAAGTCGTAACCGAATTCAGAACAGTTACAAACAGAATGCTTATCCAGCGATCCACCATGTTACAAGTGAGTACACGAAATATCTGTTCCTGGAATGCAACAAATAGAAATTGTAATAGTCGGCAGTTTGAACTCGTTCACAGCGTTCGTGATAGGAATTTGGTCATGGTGCACCGAAAATAAACACTGAATTGCTCATAAAGAGATAATATTTCGTAAGAGGGCACCATTCAAAGGAGTATCAATCCAGCTATATTGCAAAAATATCGTCTGATTCGATACTGAAGTGCATGAAATACCCTCGTGAAATTTCAAAATCATCTAGGAGAAAGCAACTCAAATTCGCCTGTAGTCATCCGATTTTTGACAAGAGTTCATGAAAGGTTGACTGTTATCCTCCTTTCGCTATCAACTTTCAAGTACTCGACAATTCGCACAGGTGTCTTCATACGCTGTATAAATAATTTGATATTGAAGTCATGCGAAGCGGCGAATATTGCTCGTGCTCAGCATGACATAACCATGCATCACATCTTCAACCAGTTCGATTGACTTTATTCGATCTAAACCCCTCATTTTCTGTTTTGAATTGAACAGAAGATATCGCCTTCATCATTTAGATGAACTTTTGAACTGTATTGATGAATGTCTTTCATTGATTATGAGAGCAATTTGAATTTCATAGTTGTGAGTATTTATTTGGAGGATGAGACCTCAAGTTGATTCAGCATCAAAAAGTTGGTAGTTAGGATATTTGGATGTTGTAATGTTGTGTGCGTATATTCAATGAAAAGTGTTAAAAAGCTTAATTCAATTGAAGAGGCATATTACATAATTGTGGTATTGCGTTAAGCGAACGAATGAATATAATTTGAAGAAGATTCGAAAACAGCATCATTTGAAACATAGCGATCATAAAAACGAACGAGTACTTCAAGAAGAACCAGTTTGATAAGATGAAAATTACGGACGTTCTCTTAGAGAATCAGACGCGCAGATAGATAATGCTTTTATTGGTTGAAGTTAATTTGGTTAACTCTTTCCGACTTTCACATTCCAATTTTATAATTGTTTCAGTCACAATTAAGGGATCAAACAAATCGACATATTTGATTAGAAAGTAACTGACTTTACTGTATTGAAAGAAGTTGTTGATTGAGTAGAGTACACGCCGATGGATCGAATGGTACCAGTGCTTATCAGTATTGATTGATTTTTGATTGAACAAACATTCGTGGAGAGTTACTTTTGGGCAGAGTATTTCATGATCACTTTGTTCAAGTAGTGTACGTCTGATTCATTCATTCAGTTCCTTTTTCGTTTCTCTGTAATCGATCAGAATGATACACATATTGGACTTGTCTTGGTCTCGCTCTTGATCACCTCTTTCTTTCGCATGCAAATCAATTACCGATGTCACAAGAGAACAGCTAACACAATTTTCTCTCACGTTCACGTAGAGGATAATCACTCATAAAAACTCATTTTGGAAGTTGATCTGGAATGAACGCAGACTTTGAGCACTGATAAAATCATATTGTAATCATAAAACGCAATCGTTGATGAATTCAAATATCAGGAATGAGTTGGAACACTGATAACGATTCCAATGGAATTGTTTGTTTGGATCGTGCTCAATAAGAATGATGCATAATTTATGTTCATTCCATTCGAAAACAAATAATCTCATATAGTATACGAGATTTGATAATGGAAACAGTCATCTGATGCTTTATATAAACCAACCATACAGTGTCACATTTCAATTTGTAAATCACCGACGGAACATTCAATTGAAAGTACTGACAAGCGCAATACTTTTTAGCATACTTTCTAATAGAATGCTCACGCAGGTTGCAACAGTGAGACTATTTTTCAACAGTCATATGTTGGGTGAGTCGGTTAGGTTTATATCAAGAATGACATTTAAAAGAGCTTATGATTTCAGGTTTAGTGCAAGTTGCAAATTGGAAAGCACTTCCATTCGATCAGATCACCGACAATTTGGACGATACAGTGGAGTCTTTGCTGAAGGATATCAGTAATCATGTCACACTCAAAATACTCACCAAGCAGTAAGTCTTTACCTTATTGCTTATCTTTAATTATTCGAGAATGAATTCATTTATCATTTGCAAAATTTTTCGAATGTTTCAAATTCTGTTTATGTTTGCGATNCATCATCCCAAAACGAGCCGATGTTAAAAGGATTATTATGTGTTGTTCACGATGGCTGTACTGAAGGGTCTTATTTTTATATCTATCATTGAATGGTGGAATGGATAGGTGGATAAGTGCGTATCGTACAGTGAGTTGTGCTTGGTTGCATGCAAATCAGCTAGATAACTGGCTAATAGCATAAGAGCTGATGAGAAGTGTGGAGGAATGAAGTAAACGGTGAATATTTGCGGATGAGAGATCAATGAAGATGTCGGTAAGGTGGAATTGGTATGTAAATGAAACGTAGATGTAAGGATTGTGTTGATCTGATTCATTCGTTCGTTCACATCATCCGATAATGCTGGATGGATGCTGATTCGATCGCCGTCGCTGCTTACAATTTTCTCATCCGAACGCATATAAAGATACAGATACATTATGTGCATTACAATGAATATTCCATCAATATTTATATGTATATTTGCCACGCATCAGCATCAATCCGTCCATCAATTCATCCAATTACAACAAGAATCAGTCGTATGGAATCAATCCCAAAACCATTATAAATACAAATCGAATTTGTTGTGATTCGAATCACGATCAATTTATGCTTTATCGATATTTGCATTTATTTGTCACATACAAGCATTCACCACATCTCAAATGTTTGGTTTATAGATGTATACGTATACGTATATGTATACAAAAACACCTCTTCTAATTATTATTCATTCCATCGTTTATTATGTCCTTCGATGTCTATCCTTTCGCTTTTATCACACGTCTGTCATACAACATCAATCCTTTTCATATCAGTGAAAAGTGAAATATTTGCGATTAATGAAATGTTACAATTGTATGCTAACATTTGACAAATCAGACAGTCAAATAGCTAAAGCACATTCCAAGTTGATCCATCAGCGGAAAAAGAAAGAATTTATGAATTTGTAAAATGCCACACTGTTTGACATTTGTGAAGAGACGAATGCTTTTTTGATGCATCGTTTATTTTGAATTATGTAA